TAATGAAAATTTCTCATTTTTCAATTTATTGCTGTTTATGGGGATAATTGATTGCTATAATCTCTGTTTTAATATGTTTGAATGTTATTCATATGTTTGTGATTCTCAGCCTTCGAAGAAGTTGGCCTTCTGGTCAGTATTCTTTTCCAAATTAAGCTTTCTAGGTTGTGTAATCATTTGATACGTTGGACATCATTGTTGCTATAGTTTTTGCTTAGTGTCTTAATTATGTTTGGTAATTATATTTTTCTACTTTGTTGACGAATTAAGCTTTTAAGGCTGTGCTGTTTCTTGTTTTCGGTATCACAATTTAATATCCGAATCTGCTACTGACAATTTTTGGTAATTATTTTGCTTGTTCTGATGATTTCTTTTTTTCAAGACCTTAGGTTTCAAAGTATATCAAAACATTATGAATTAACCATCCCTAATTTTATGTGGAACCTGATAATTTCTTGGTTAGCTAGCTATATATGGCAGGTCATATTGCTTCAAACGGTGGCTTTTCTAGAGAGGTTAACCTGAGGATGGCTGGTTCATAGTGCTGTTGTTTTGGGTGGAGACGAACCGGTTGCTTTTGTTCATTGAATGCTTGCAAGTAAATGTAAAATGTAAGATAATTAATCCATAAAGTTAACTATAGGTCTGTTCTACGCTCAGGGTGTGATCAGCCAACCCTTTTTTTTTTGGTCTGTTCATCCGTCATGTTGAGAATATTTAGTATGACGATAAGTGATTTTAGGTTATTTGCATTAGAAAATTACCTTATGCTCCGTTCCGAATAAAGATTTGTATCCACTGCAAAAAAGTAAATTATGCATATTGTTCTAAATGCTACACCTTAAATTCCAAACAAAGAGGGTTTCGTATCTAATAAGCGGATCTAACCTGATGATCAGAAGAACTTTCAATCTCGAAGCTAGCGATATGATGTCAACTAGCTTGTTTATTTCTGAAAAATGTTCGAAGTGTGAATTATCATTGATGTTAATGTTAATCAGCTGACAGTTGAAAGTTTTCAAACTTTTAGTGAGATATAAACGGTTATGATTCATATTCTCCGATGTCCAAGTTCGATTATAGGTGCCATAAGATTTTCGGGAACTTGAAGGAAGCGATGAAAGTGTGACGGCTATATAAATTTTAAGTAGCAAAAAAGTTATCTTAATCTCGAAATTTTATTGTTTTCATACTTTAATCTCAAACTTGCCCTCCTTTCATAGCTCCTATATTTCGTCTTTTACAGCGGCAAAAATGAAGTGTTTGAAAGGGATTAAACGTAAGGAGAAATTGAGGGGATCTGACAACATGAGTCGGAACTCATGTGACAAAGCGTATAAATTAACATTAAGGAGGAAGTAGTCTCAAGATTGAAGAATGATCAATTTAGACATTATAATTTTTAGTAAGACTAGGACTTGAGCATGTGTAACTAGATAGATTTATAGTTCAATTAGTAAATGCAGTGGGCCTAATGGTGTTTGTATTTTATTTTATTTTATTTGGTTGGCAATATTATTATTTTGCTTTAACCTAAATTCTATTAGAGTGTAACCCGTGCAAAGCACGACCTCCTATTTTTTTAAGCACTGTATTTTTAACTTACCTCCCTTTAAGTTTTAATACATTTGATTTTATTACTATATGTTTAAAATTAGAAATAATATCTACTTCTCTATACTTAAAAAGAGATCTAAGTTTTAATACATTTGAATTTGATTTAGAAATCATATACATTCCTCTATATTTAAAGAAGGATCTACGTTTTAATATATTTGATTTGTTTTACTGTTTATGATACAGTAATTACTGTGATATAAATGGTAACTTTAAGCACGAAGGTACAGATTTGATTTACTATTTATGATACAGCAATAAATACTATAGAATAAATAGTAACTTCCAATGAGTAGTAGATATACGAAAGAGCATGAGGACCACTGTCCACAGTCAATCCCCTGCATCTTGCATAACCCAGGCAAAATCTTGTCACGATTTTAAGCTGACGCCCCTCCTTCAACGTCATCCACCAGATGCTTAAATTTATCCGTGCCTGCCAAAGTACTGGAGGCCGAGGAGCGAAAGCCTAGATTCTCTGTGCCACGTGTCATCAGGCAAGTGAATGAGAAGCACCCACTCCTATCTCTCAAAGATAAGGGAGGCCCTTGGCTCGCATTAAACTAGCGATCCCCATCCTCACTCTTCATCACCACAAACAACAGAGATCTTTCTCGCTCCGCAAAATGGCTTCTGTTTGTGCTTCCTCCTCTGCCATTGCAACTGTTGCCAGGCAAGATGTATATATATTTCGTTTTTATATTTATTTTTTTGATAAAGATTATTTGATTTCTTGTTTGATTTTAGAGATTAATTAGTAAGATGGTAACAAGTTTAAAAACAAAACCTAATCACCTTTGGTACTTGTACTGAGATTGTGATCAGTTTGTTGTATGATATTTGGCATCTACATTTTTCATTTGTATCTTACATGTAGGATGCTAAAGTTTTTAACCATGACGACGGTTGCGGGTTATATTTTTGTATTTTAACACGTCCCCGCAAATTGAGCGCGTCTTTTTTATGGGGGGCTTAAATCTGAAACTCACACGATGACATTAAGTTTTAAAAAAATCTATTTTAAATTCGTGGCCGGTGGGATCTGAAGCTGGATCGCTCTGATAAGATGTCAAAATTCTTAACTTATATTATACCAAACTTCAAAGTTACGATGCTGGTTAATGGTTTTTATTTTTATATTCTAAATTGAGAAATCAGTATAACCTATTAAATGCAACATGAAGGTTGTTGGTTTATGAAAAATATGTTTTTGCACTGTTAAAATTTAAAATAATATATGAAAAGTATATACCTGTTCAGTTTGATAAATGATGATGATTTTAGTGTAAACGAATACGTAGGTGAATGGGCTTTCATTTTTCCCTAGAGATTCATAAAACACATGACCAATAGTCTACCTTTGGCATCATAAAACTACTCAAAAAAAATTATTATGAAATTGTTCTACAACAGTTCACAGAATGCATTATCTGCAACAAAGGCATCCTTCTTCGGAGGGAGAAAGCTGAGACAAGCCGGAAAATGGGCGGCAGCCACCGGCCCACCGGCCGGAGATCACTTTCGGTGTCGGCAGCTGCAGCGTCGGAGAGGCCCCTCTGGTTCCCTGGCAGCACCCCTCCTCCATGGCTCGACGGCAGGTTCATAAAAATCCCATTTTTATTTTAATTCATTTTTTGTATTTTTCACATGTTGTTATCTTTAGGCCTAAGATTTATTCTTTTCATTTCATGAATGCAGCCTCCCAGGAGACTTTGGCTTTGATCCTCTTGGCCTAGGTAAGCTTAGTTAAAAACTTGACCTGTGCATTCATTTCTTTTGACATTCTTTTTTTGGCTCTAATTTTAAGGCAAAACATTGTTACCTTTATATAACAGATAATTAATAGAATAAAAGGAAAGACAAATTGATCTCTATAATGTTGGGTTTAGATTTTGTTTGCACAAAAATTTGTCGTAAATCTTTATTATGTCATCTCAGGAATGCAAAAGAACGTTTATACCTGGCCATGCGAGGATATTTGGTGATATACATGCTTATTCAGACTTAATTGTTGTGTTCATGCAGGATCCGACCCAGAGAGCTTAAAATGGAACGTCCAAGCCGAACTAGTCCACTGCCGATGGGCGATGCTCGGCGCTGCTGGCATCTTCATCCCCGAATTCCTCACCAAAATCGGAATCCTCAACACTCCCTCATGGTACACCGCTGGCGAGCTCGAATACTTCACTGACAAAACCACCCTCTTCGTGGTTGAGCTCATCTTGATCGGGTGGGCCGAGGGCCGAAGATGGGCCGACATAATAAAGCCCGGTTGCGTCAACACGGACCCAATCTTCCCCAACAACAAGCTCACCGGTACTGATGTGGGCTATCCGGGTGGGCTCTGGTTCGACCCGTTGGGCTGGGGTTCGGGCTCGCCAGAGAAAATTAGGGAGTTGAGGACTAAGGAGATCAAGAATGGGAGGTTGGCTATGCTGGCTGTTATGGGGGCCTGGTTTCAGGCCATTTACACAGGGACTGGCCCAATTGATAATTTGTTTGCTCACCTTGCCGATCCTGGTCATGCCACAATCTTTGCTGTAAGTGCCATAAAATCCTATGTATCACTATAATATGTCAGGTTATCTGCCGCCCTTAGCTTTTAAACTCTCATGGGAATCACGAGGGAATATTCTTGACGAATGTCTATACTTCTGACCATCACGTGATTCCTAAGAAAGTTTTGATATAGCAACGGAAAACCATGTTTTTTTTAACGAAAGCATGGGATGTACGTGTTAATTAAATAGAAAATGGGTAATAAGTAGCAAAAACTCTGTAGCATTATGATTGTATTTGCAAACAACCCTGACATTTTTCTGAAAAGTCCCTTTTCTCCTAACAACAGAAGTTAAATTTTGTGGATTTTGGCCAGGCTTTCACCCCCAAGTGATCGGAGGAAGAAGAGGATGGCGATCATCGGTAACCGGAATCAATGATGTAAATCTTTAGGTATTGCCGAGGGTCATGAGAATATTGGAAGGGAGTGTAGAGTATGGAGATGAATGTATCATGTCTAGTTGTGTCTTATATTGTGTTTTGGATGCTGGATTGAGTAAGAAACAGTGTACAAATTTACTTGGAAGGTTTGCTTCTGGGTAGCAATGCTAAATACTTGATGCAGTATGATTAATCAGTTTAGTTATAATTAAGCCTCTTACTCTTAGTCAATGTGTGCATATTGACATATATCACATTAATTAATTAACAAAGAAACATGGCAATAATTACAGGTAATCTAAAAAAGAGATTAATATATATCTCCGCACATATGATTAATATATTTTTTTTCAATTGTTAACTATTTGAACTCAGATAACTCTCACAATCTTTCTGACTTAGACGCATTGCCTTCGCAAGTTGGGTATCTCTAACAACAACAAATTCGAAGTAATTTCTAAAATGGGGGTTAAGATAGAAAATGATTTGCTAATGGAAAGCAAGAAAATGTGAAAATATCTCCAGAAACAAACAACCCGGCTTTCTTGAGAAACGAGAACAACATGGTTGAGTGAAACGTGTGAACAAGAAGCATGCAACAAACCCGTCCACTAAAGGGACGAAAAGATAGTTAAGCACGAGATTTCAAACAAATATTGGTATTATTCTACCAAATTGTTACTTTATAGTGTTATGGGACGCAAGTGCATCAATTTCATATATTCCCAAAAAAAAAAGTTCTCTCTTCGGATGACAACCTTAGTGCAAGTCATGCTATCCTTAAAAGTTATATTCAAGGATCTGACAGTAATATTTCTAAACTTATCAAGTGGAGCGGTTACAGCGCATGTTAGCAGGCGGTTTTTTCCTGCTAACATACGCAACTGCTGAGTTTTTTAATGGCGAAGAAGAAAAAGTTTAGCGGGAAAAAGATCATCAAATCGGGATTAGGAGCTTCAATCTCATCTTCGATCGATCATGCTGACTGTTTGGAGGTAAATTCTGTTGATAGTGAGGATGAAGATAGTTTTCCCATGGGATCGATGGGTCCAAAGGGAGCGAGGAAATCCAAATCGATGATGGAGATTTTGTTAGCTTCAAGTTCCCTAAATGGATCAAATCTTGATTTAATGTCTTCTCTGAAGAAGGGAGCTCAAAATATTTCGTTGATGGCGGGGTTTCAAGATCGTCAGCTATCCCCAATGGAGGGCCCCTGTAAGTCTTCTATTTCTTGTAATGGCGGGAAGAACTCTGCTAGGGTTTCTTGGGCAGAGGAGGCCGATTCTGAGTTACTATCTGGTTCCTTACCTATTTCTGGGCCTGTGTTTTTGAATTCAAATATTAAATCTATTGATTCTACTGATTCTTTGAATTCTAACAAAAATGATGTTTCACTGTCTGGGAATAAGGAGAATAAAGTCAGTTTGGATGAATCTTGTGATCCTCTTTTAGAGAAATCTAAAATCCCTGCTAAGAGTTGGAGTAGCCTATTTTCAGATAATAGGAGGCCTGAGAATGGCATGGTACTGGATTATTTTGCCTTCTGTCTCAACTGATTCAGTGGTTTTTGATGAAGAGGAATGGAATGAAGGAGCTTCAATGTGGTCTTCCTCTGTTGTGGGGCAGGTTCTTGGTTTGAATGCAAGTTTCAAAGCTATGGAAAGCTATGTGCACAAGGTATGGCCTCAATCTCCAGAAATCTGTCTAATAAAGGCAGGATTGTTTCTGTTCAAATTCAAAGGGAAAGATGAAATGAATGAGGTTCTTTGTAAGGGACCCTGGTTTTTTGGATCAAGACCAATACTATTAAAACCTTGGTCTATAGATGAAGAAAATAATAAAACTGATGAGTGTGTTTACCCCTTGTGGATTCAACTTCCTGCTTTGAGATTAAATTTGTGGAATTCCAAAGGTATAAGTAAAATTGCCAGCTTAATTGGGAGACCTATTGCTACTGACATGTTAACAGCAAATAAACAAAGGCTGTCATATGCTAGAGTCTTGGTAGAGATTAAATTGCCATCCCCCCTACCTGACCATGTCACCATACAAGGACCTAATGGTAAATCCTATAATCAGAGAGTGGTTTATGAGTTTAAGCCAAGATGGTGCGATTATTGCAAATTTGTGGGTCATGATACTAGTTTTTGCAATAAGAGAACTAAAATGCAGAAATGGATTCCTAAGAAACAAGTTACTGGAAACAATAGTCAATCTGGTTCCATACTCCATGCAAATAAAGATATAGATGAAGAGGTAAATAAGGGAAAATCTGTAGTACAAGAGCATATGAACACTAGGGATTACCAGTCTCCTGTGCATGTGGTGCATGTTTTAGGGGAATCTTCAAATACAGGAGTTGTGTCTACTCACACTGGAAAACATGAACTGTCTGGTAATATTGGTAAATCTCCACAGTTTGAACATGATTTACAGCATGGGAGGAATCTTGAAGTGAATGTGAGTACTGGTAAGCCTGTTCAGGAAACTGAACAAAGGGCTGTGCATGTTGTGCACAGCCAGCTACCAGAATCTGATGGTTCTTATGCATATAATCCATGGAGACATGTTCAAGGAAAAGCCAACTACCTGTATCTGATGGTTCTTATGCATATAATCCATGGAGACATGTTCAAGGTAATAAATCCAAGTTGTCTGGAAACTCTCTTGGTGTTGTTTCCCAATCTGGAGATAATACTATAAAGTCTGGCAGTAAGAATACTGGAAATTCTTTCCTATATTTGGAGAATTTGGATTCAGACCCCTCTACAATTGATAGAGGAGGACTGTTCTTTAAATGAACTTATCCTTTTGGAATGTGAGAGGGTTAAATAAACCCTCTAAACAGTTGTTGGTTAAACAACATTTGCATCTCTATCACTTGTCTTTTATCTCTCTTCTGGAAACAAAGATTAAGGAAAATAATATCAAGAAGGTTACAAAAAGAATTGCTAAGGATTGGGAATGGATCTCAAATGTGACTAACTCTGAGAAGGCAAGGATTCTAATATTATGGGATTCTAAACTCCTAAACATCCAACAGCTGGACCTCTCAAGCCAACAGATAACTTGCAGGATTACATCTACTGATTTTTTAATGGCGAAGAAGAAAAAGTTTAGCGGGAAAAAGATCATCAAATCGGGATTAGGAGCTTCAATCTCATCTTCGATCGATCATGCTGACTGTTTGGAGGTAAATTCTGTTGATAGTGAGGATGAAGATAGTTTTCCCATGGGATCGATGGGTCCAAAGGGAGCGAGGAAATCCAAATCGATGATGGAGATTTTGTTAGCTTCAAGTTCCCTAAATGGATCAAATCTTGATTTAATGTCTTCTCTGAAGAAGGGAGCTCAAAATATTTCGTTGATGGCGGGGTTTCAAGATCGTCAGCTATCCCCAATGGAGGGCCCCTGTAAGTCTTCTATTTCTTGTAATGGCGGGAAGAACTCTGCTAGGGTTTCTTGGGCAGAGGAGGCCGATTCTGAGTTACTATCTGGTTCCTTACCTATTTCTGGGCCTATGCTTTTGAATTCAAATATTAAATCTATTGATTCTACTGATTCTTTGAATTCTAACAAAAATGATGTTTCACTGTCTGGGAATAAGGAGAATAAAGTCAGTTTGGATGAATCTTGTGATCCTCTTTTAGAGAAATCTAAAATCCCTGCTAAGAGTTGGAGTAGCCTATTTTCAGATAATAGGAGGCCTGAGAATGGCATGGTACTGGATTATTTTGCCTTCTGTCTCAACTGATTCAGTGGTTTTTGATGAAGAGGAATGGAATGAAGGAGCTTCAATGTGGTCTTCCTTTGTTGTGGGACAGGTTCTTGGTTTGAATGCAAGTTTCAAAGCTATGGAAAGCTATGTGCACAAGGTATGGCCTCAATCTCCAGAAATCTGTCTAATAAAGGCAGGATTGTTTCTGTTCAAATTCAAAGGGAAAGATGAAATGAATGAGGTTCTTTGTAAGGGACCCTGGTTTTTTGGATCAAGACCAATACTATTAAAACCTTGGTCTATAGATGAAGAAAATAATAAAACTGATGAGTGTGTTTACCCCTTGTGGATTCAACTTCCTGCTTTGAGATTAAATTTGTGGAATTCCAAAGGTATAAGTAAAATTGCCAGCTTAATTGGGAGACCTATTGCTACTGACATGTTAACAGCAAATAAACAAAGGCTGTCATATGCTAGAGTCTTGGTAGAGATTAAATTGCCATCCCCCCTACCTGACCATGTCACCATACAAGGACCTAATGGTAAATCCTATAATCAGAGAGTGGTTTATGAGTTTAAGCCAAGATGGTGCGATTATTGCAAATTTGTGGGTCATGATACCAGTTTTTGCAATAAGAGAACTAAAATGCAGAAATGGATTCCTAAGAAACAAGTTACTGGAAACAATAGTCAATCTGGTTCCATACTCCATGCAAATAAAGATATAGAAGAAGAGGTAAATAAGGGAAAAATCTGTAGTACAAGAGCATATGAACACTAGGGATTACCAGTCTCCTGTGCATGTGGTGCATGTTTTAGGGGAATCTTCAAATACAGGAGTTGTGTCTACTCACACTGGAAAACATGAACTGTCTGGTAATATTGGTAAATCTCTACAGTCTGTACATGAATTACAGCATGGGGGGAATCTTGAAGGAATGTCAAATTTGAATGTGAGTACTGGTAAACCTGTTCAAGAGAAGGAAACTGAGCAAAGAGTTGTGCGTGTTGTGCACAGCCAACTACCTGTATCTGATGGTTCTTATGCATATAATCCATGGAGACATGTTCAAGGTAATAAATCCAAGTTGTCTGGAAACTCTCTTGGTGTTGTTTCCCAATCTGGAGATAATACTATAAAGTCTGGCAGTAAGAATACTGGAAATTCTTTCCTATATTTGGAGAATTTGGATTCAGACCCCTCTACAATTGATAGAGGAGGACTGTTCTTTAAATGAACTTGTCCTTTTGGAATGTGAGAGGGTTAAATAAACCCTCTAACCAGTTGTTGGTTAAACAGCATTTGCATATCTATCACTTGTCTTTTATCTCTCTTCTGGAAACAAAGATTAAGGAAAATAATATCAAGGTGGTTACAAAAAGAATTGCTAAAGATTGGGAATGGCTTTCAAATGTGAACAATTCTGAGAAGGCAAGGATTCTAATATTATGGGATTCTAAACTTCTAAACATTCAACAGCTGGACC